TGCTTGACATGATACGGATAAATTAAATCATGATAACAAAAAGTATGCATGAAATATACACTAAGAAAAAAGTGTCACCGGTATCATTATAACAAATAGTATGCATGAAATATATACTAAAAAAAAGTGTCCACTGTTGAGATGAGATCATGAGACCATCAGTGTTTATCACCACTTAACTTCATGAGATTATTATAAGATGCAACTAAATTACATAAACGAACTGCACTAATCTAAAATACCTTATTATTTTTACCTTACTTTTAATCATATTCATCATAAAATATGAATATGATTTAATTCAAGAGTTCTTATCAACAACAACAAAAATATACCAAAAAAAATGAAGGAATAATCGATCTAACCCGGGTCAACCGGGTCATCGCGTTTCGGCCGGATCAACCGAATCAATACGAATTGACTCCATAAACGATCCAACTACCTGCTCGGATCGGAGAACTCACCGAATCACCGAGTCCCGGGTCGACCCGGCCGATCCCAGCCAAATTTTAAAACACTAAAATTTATACACAAACAAAATTCTTGGGAAAATTGAATTCCTCGAATAAAGTTTACAAACCTTGTACCAAATATGGGCAATTAAGATTCTCAAATTCACTTTCGTAGAAATATAAAAAAAGTCCCTCTACCGAATGCCTCCTAAGTATCAAGAATAGGAAACTCTTCCTCTTCCTATTTTTTAAATAAACAATAGCTACCTAAAAAGTCAAAATGAAGGAGTAGGCAAAGAAAAAAATAAAGTAAAATAAAATAACGAGAGAGAGCGTGGCTATCATTTTTTTTTTTAAAAAAAATATAAAGATTTAATTATGCATTTTATTTCTTTTTTTAGTGAAGACAAAATTTGCTAAGCGCAACTCATTAATGATTCATTTTGATTTTTCTTTTTTACCTTTTTTATAGATATTTTTAATTATTTTTCTATTATTAAGTACCATAGCCTATATCATATCTTCCATCAACAATTTACCTTTTTAAGTTTTTTTTTTTCTTTTAATTATTAGGGAAAAAGACCAAAAGGCTGGCTATTGATATAGCACGGTTTTAATCGTAATCAAGAAAATGCACATAGCATAGCACCACATTCCACAAGTAACTGTAACAGTATTTGGAGCTATGTACTGGACTTTTCTCATCCACTCAAACAATCCTCTCTCTCAGAAAAAAATACGGAATTGTTGAGATATATAGTCTCATATTGATATTGTGTGGGTAATTAATGTGGCTTTTATAAGACCTTGGACACCCTCACTCTTTGAACTAGCTTTTGGGGTAATGTATCCCAAGGTTCTTTACAGGGTATCAGAGCTTGAGTGACCTGACAAAGTCACAAGTTCGATCATCTCCACCCCCACTTTAAAGTGGAATTAAAATAAATAAAAAAAGCGCAAAAAGTAAACCAAAAATTGGGCTTGTGCAATATCCACGCTTCTAGCCCAAATGGCTCTTGCGTGCGGAGGCGTGTTGAGATATATAGTCTCACATTGATTGTGTGGGCAACTAATGTGACATTTATAAGGCCTTGAACATTCTCACCATTTGAGCTAGCTTTTGAAGTGGTATATTCCAAAATTCTTTACAATGATGTATGAAAGCAAAATTGCATTCCTTAGTTCCAACATGTTAACACAGCTGACAGCTCAACTCCTTGCGCGTGCATCTCATCATTTTTTGAGGAAAAAGCATGTGCAATATCACATTAAAAGGAAAGACAACAAACCAGTTATTTTCTCTCAAAATTCCAACATATTCAACTAACTACGAATACCAGCAGTAGGCAACAGTGACTATTTTGTTACGTTTGGACAAAAAAATTATTAGACTGTCACGCCAACAATAAATTTTGTCAAAATACCACGCGACATAATTCGCAATACAGTGTAGCGAATTATGCATGTAAGTAATTCCCTACACAGTGTAGCGAAATATGCCACATCAGAACCAAAAATGCCACATGTCAAAATTTGAGAAATTCGCTACCCTATGTAGCGAATTTCTCAAAATTTGACATGTGGCATTTTTGGTTCTGTGCATCCTGACGTGGCATATTTCGCTACACTGTGTAGCGAATTACTTGCATGCATAATTCGCTACACTGTGTAGCGAATTATGCCGCGTGACATTTTGGCAAAATTTACTGTTAGCGTGGCAGTCTGGTAATTTTTTTGTCCAAGCGTGGCACTTTGGTCACTGTCCCGCAGTAAGCATTCTCCTACTGTTCATGTTATGGATAATATAAGATTCATATATCTGAAGGTCCAATAAAAAGCAATTACATGACAACAATACAATGACACATCAGACCTATAGATCTTAATTTAAAGGTCCAAAATTCTTATACCCAAACTCTATAATCAGGGGACAAAACCTAAAGATATGATATAATCTCTCTTTTACTGTTATGTTGTCATTGTGTACACGCACCATCCCATTAACTAACGCTATTATTAATTGTGCACACTGATATCTGTTATCTCAATTTATCTAATTCATAAATACTTAAAGAGTAAACATCCTTTTTAGTCCCTGACAATATCTACGAAGTCCTTTTCAGTCCCTGGCAATAAAAAAGGACCAAATTGGTCCCTGAAAGTACAAGAAAAGGGCCACTCTACATATTTGGGAGTTGACATAAGGACTAACATGGCCCTTTTTTGTAATTTCAGGGACCAATTTGGTCTTTTTATATTTCCAGGGACTAAAAAGGACTTCGTAGATATTGACAGGGACTAAAAAGGATGTTTACTCATACTTAAAAGATAATATTTTATTCAATATTATCCTACCAGCCCTTGACTAAATACTTTCGTTGCTTAAACACAACACTCGGTATCACCCATAAGCATTACATATGCCACATATACTGAGACAGTGAGAATTAACATCTTGTCTTTTGTATTGCATTTGCATAATATTGCATCATATCACATCAATATATAATTCAACTTATTAAGAGGTGAAAATGATGATGTATTCCTTGAATGGTGAAATAGATTAATATAACAATGACTGAATGAGGCAGTAGTATGAGCTACATCTCTGAGGTGATCATTGTGGAGGTCTCATGCAAGCTGAGAATATGGGTTGGAGGGGGTGGGGGATGAAGAGGGCTCGGTCATGACTAACAAGAAGAGATTTTTGCACAGTTGCAGATTTTAAACATGCCAACAATGATAACGAAGATGATTCGTCAGAGGAGAAATGAGGGTATTTAAAATATGAAGATTCTCAAGCATGTGAAATATGAAGATTCTCAAGCATGTGAAATATGATATCATGATTATTTTTTAACCTTGTGGGACCATTTAAATGTATGGTTGAGTGACATCTCATGTGTAAATGTCAAATAATGTGTGTGTGGGAGTGAAGAAGAATTAGGTATATGTATTAATAAGGGTGCTAACGAGCCGAGCAGAACTTCGGTCTTAAAAAGTTAAGTCAGTATTTAAATATATGATCCAGCCTACCTGTTATGAATATAATTATCGGCCTATGGCCTGACTTATTTATGAAAAATGAAAGCCTGATTTAGTCTGTTTATAAAAAATAAGACAACAAAAATTTACCCAAATAGAATGTACAATCAACAACACTAGTAATTCCATAAATATTCATAAATTCAATGTATATCCAAATAGCATAATATAGAACAAAATCATTCAAAAAGTCTATTTAACCAATAAAATGGGGTGAAATGGATTGATGAGAGAAAGAGAGAGGCTATTATAAGTAGTATAAAAAATATAAAATAAAAATAAAAATTAATATACTAGGCCAGCCTAAGAGGCTCTAAGGCCGAACTTTTGAATTGAAGCCTGAAGTCTTTTTATTAAACGAGCTTTTATACAAATCCAAGTCTGATTACAACAATCAATTTTAGACATGTAAGCTCAGGCCTTCACGAACCGAACCAAAGATCCCTGGTTCGTTTATCACCCCTATGTATTAATACAAAAAAAAAAAAAAAAAAAAAAAAGTCGTGGATGGATGGGATTTTACGTCGAAAGTATTGGTTTATATAAATTAAAAAAAAAAAAACCTAAACGGTTCATTTAGCAATAGATGAAAATGTAATATCTAAGTAGACACATAGTTACATGGTAAAGCCTTTGTTATACTAATTATTTACGACATGGCTATAAAAAATATCTTTGTGAATTCTTTACTCATATATGACCTGCTTTTAACTAGATGGAAGAAGTGGATTAGTTAAGAAGTGCTGAATACCACTCATCATAATAATAAAAAAAATACAAATTCGAGTGTAACCAATTATGTAAAGTAATTTACAGTTACTCATTTATATTGTTTTTTTTAATAAATTATGCAACAAAAGTATCACCATTAGTTAGGCGAAGTAATAAGCCAACAGCATTCTAAGTAAAAGATAAAGTTCGAACTTTACAAAAAGCACTTCTTAAACAGACATGTAATCAGTTGCGGCTGTATTCCCGTGTTTAATCTCACAACAACGAGGGGGGGAAAAATAGTAGAAGTGGATTCAAGGTTAGTTTGATAGTGGAGGGGATGCTTGAAGCATGATTGAGACAGTAGAGGTGGATATCCAATATAATTGTAGCATATTTGGTTTGAACTTTAGTCATGGAATAAATTATTCAATTGCATCGATTTTTAACTTGTAAGCCAGAAGTAAAGTTAATTCACTTTCTTCCACTATAAATACTCTTTGGGGGAATTAGGCATAGTCACATACAACTAATCCTCCTTAAAGTTTTTTTCTTCTTGTCATTTTTTGATCTCCTGTGGCAGATATGGGCTCCTTAAGGCCATGCCTTGTTTTCATTCTTATCTGCATTTTGATAATTAATCAGGCATATTCCAAGAATGATCGGAAGGCAAATATATGCATATACATCTTTATTATTATTTCCTACGTACAATACATATTGTTAATCAAGACGTTCATGGTTCTCAAAATTTCCTCCCTCTAATTTGATCATATCATTTTCTGATTACAGACTTATATTGTCTACATGGGTGATCATCCTAAGGACATGGACTCCACATCCTTACCTTTTCTTCATATGGACATGGCTCAAAAGATCCTTGGCAGGTTGAACATTATGTCTATTGTCTAATCCATTTTTGAAGTTTTAGAAATACTTATGTACTCGTAGTGGTACATAGATGTCTTCCGTAGAGAGTGAAGTATGTTGATATAGAGATGTCCATAGTAGCAATGGTAGAGACCAAGGCACTAGTGGAACTTCCAATGTATGTGATCAAAGGGGGAGTGTGTGTGTATGACAGCACATGAGAGGAGTGAGGAAGAAGAAGATGCCCCCTCTCTCTGTGTGAGAGGGGTATTTAGAGAGGAGAGTCTCTCTTCTGGCGTGAGGGCTTGAGCTGGTCAGCCCATGAGCTGTCTCATCAAGCTGCCCAATGTCAGTGTACAGGGGCAACAATGTAGGATGGAGAATGTCCCAGTGGTAAGTCTCTATGACTTGTCATGGGTGCTCTCTATAAGGTTCTAAATATGAGCTTTAAGCGATTGGGCCCATCTGGTGGGCCTAAGTAAGTAGTATCCAGAACAACTTCAAAAATTATCGTACAATACCACATATGCAATATCTTTTTTACAGTATAGTGTGAAGCCTAACTGCAATAATGAAAATACAGCTATATTTTATTGTTTTGTTTCTTATCCAAGAAGAGTATCATAAAATTGATCATCCAATTTGTGCATTAAACCAGTGATTTTGCACCAGAAGCTATACTTCACAGCTACAAGAGCTTTAATGGGTTCGTCATGAAATTAACAGAAGAGGAGGCGGAAAGAATGGCAGGTACTATAATCTCCTTTTAACCCCACTATTGCTTAAAATATATTCACACACTGTTCTTGGATACTAAAGCACACTTTTAATTACTTTGTGATATTGCAATAGAAATGGACACTGTCGTCTCTGTTTTCCCAAACAAAAAGAACCGTCTTCACACAACAAGATCGTGGGACTTCCTAGGCTTTCCCCAGCAAGTCAAAAGAACAAGTATTGAGAGTGACATAATTGTTGGAGTATTAGACTATGGAATTTGGCCAGAGTCTGAGAGCTTCAGTGACAAAGGATTTGGTCCACCACCAAGCAAATGGAAGGGATCATGCCATAACTTTACCTGCAACAAGTAATAATCTCTTTTGTATATAATACAATTTCAATTTTACCGTGTCCAAAAAAACAGAATCTTTAATAAAGCAAGTCACCCCTTATTATATGCAGCAAAGTGATAGGTGCAAAATTCTTTAATATCGAAAGTTATTATACCAAAGAGGACATAAAATCTCCTAGGGATACAGAAGGGCACGGGTCACACTGTGCATCAACGATTGCTGGAAACTTGGTTAACCATGCAAGTCTACTAGGCTTTGCCAGCGGAACAGCCCGTGGAGGAGTTCCATCAGCACGAATTGCTGTGTACAAAATATGTTGGAAATCTGGTTGTTCAGAAGCTGACACACTTGCAGCATTTGATGAAGCAATTATTGATGGAGTTGACCTGATTTCTACATCAACGGGAGCAGATGTCATAGTATACCCTGAGTATTTTGAAGATGCAATTAATATAGGAAGTTTCCATGCAATGAAAAGAGGCATATTGAGGTCAAATTCTGCTAATAATTTGGGTCCGGAGCTTTACTCTATGACAAATTATCCCCCTTGGTTACTTTCTGTGGCTGCTACCACTATTAACAGAAAGTTCGTTACCAAGCTCCAATTGGGCAATGGCATGGTTTATGAGGTATCATTATTTAAACAACTTACACTAACTCTTATTCTTAATATAAAATTAAAAGAAAAATATTAATTTTTTTGGTTGACTCTGCCATATACACAGGGGGTTTCAATGAACACATTTGATCTCAAAAGCAAAATGTTTCCCCTGATTGTATCATCCGGGTATTGAAATGTGAATTGTTATGCGATTTTTCTTTGTTTATTAATTTTTCTTTGTCACCACTTCATATATATATATATATATATATATATATATATATATATATATATATTATTGATCAGGATTTGCGGCGATAAGACTTTGGATAAACGTTTGGTGAAGGGAAAGATCATTCTATGTTATGGCTTCAACGTTACAGACGTTAGGTTTTTGTCTGGTGCGGTTGGTGTTATTGTTGGAGCCACTGGTCAGAAAGACCGAACAACTGCATTTGCCCTGCCTGCCACTGTTCTCACAACTAACGACTTCAGACTCGTAAATTCTTACATTGATTTAGCGGGGTATAGGTCCCTATGGACTTAATTATAAAGTTTAATGTTCATTCCATGTCATGTAATTATGTATTAGGAAATTATTTAAATAGTTTCAATAACTGATGGAGAAGCCATGTTTTTTTAAGAATATATAACCCATTATTGAATGAAAAAGTGCATTAAATGTTTTTTTTTTTTCCTTGATATCTTTTAAGACATTTATTTAGCAAAATATTTATTTAAATGTTAATTTACTGACTTAAACCTTTCTCGTTTGACATGCTACTAATTAGCAAAAACGCAACAGCCACCATATTCAGGAGTGATGAAGTCAATAATTCGTTAGCACCTTACGTAGCTTCGTTCTCATCAAGAGGTCCAAATCCAATTACTCCAAACATTCTTAAGGTAACTTCAATGATTAGTATAATCCATATCAATTTGTCGTCTTGAAGCTGTCAAAATGCTCATTGCAATTATTTGTTGATATTGTAGCCTGATCTCGCTGCCCCCGGTGTTAATATTATAGCTGCATATTCTCCAATGTCCCCAATTTCACATGTCCAAGGTGACAAAAGACTAGTAAAATATAATGTAATTTCTGGCACTTCAATGGCTTGTCCTCATGCTGCTGGGGCAGCCGTATACGTCAAATCATTTCACCCCAATTGGTCTGCTGCTATGATCAAGTCTGCCTTGATGACCACAGGTAGTGACTCCTCTCCATATATATATATATATATATATATATATATATAAAAGAGCAAATAAACTAAATCAAAGGAAAAAAATTAATTTGATTTTTAAATAAAAAGTATGAATTTATGACTGTTTTCAAAATAATTATATATGTATTGCACAATGTCACGCCCACATTAGGTGTCATCAGTCACGCCTAAGTTAGGCGTCACCCAAGAAGAAGTCATGCCTAGCTTAGGTGTCACTCGTCTGGTATTGACACGTGTCATGAAAAATCAACAATTTAATCGTAAAACTTCTGAAGGGCATAACTTTTGACTCGGATATCTCAATCAGGTAATTTTTTTTTATTTCATATATTTTTCGAGATGTACGTAATGACACCTCATTTGACATATTTTATCTCTCACAAACATAATTTGAATTTGCAACAAAGAGACTTTATCTTATAAGTCGTGGTCTGAAATTAATGATGGTACCAAAGTAGATTAGTCCATTTATAAATAAGAATCCGTAATGTCATAGTAAAATATATATTTTCTGCCAAGTGTTTGAAAAAAAATAGTGTATAATATTGTGAGAAAAGAAAGTGTCACAATATAAAAGGGTGAGAGAGATTGGTAAGAATATAATGTTCTTTAAATTGCATTGAAAAATGCAAAACTTTTGATATATTGCATTAAAAATATGTTCTTATGCTATGGAACATGCTTTGATAAGAGGGTTTGAGGTGAATTATACTATTATAGACGTCGAAGAATGCATTATTACAAACATATATAGCACCTCAAACTTTCTTATCAAAGTATGTTTCAAAGCATAAAGTCCACCAGAAGAATCTATGAGTCCCATGAAAAGCCTCCAATTGGATGCCCCTTTGGCATATTTCATCTTTGTGAATGATGTTATTTAATTTTTTACTTCCTAGCATTAAGAAATTATTCTCCGAAAATTTTTCAGTGCGTAGATATCGAAAAGTTATGTAGGATTAAAAAAATCACTTACTTCGAACCTTCGAGCAAAAAAAATTACATGGGTCTTCTTTGAATTTCTGAGGGACCACAACTTTGGGGCCAAATGAGGTCTCTTTGATATTTCACTTTGGTGCCATCATTAATTTCAGACCACGACTCATAAGATAAAGTCTCATTGTTGCAAATTCAAATTGTGTTTGCGAGAGAAAAAAATATGTCAAATGAGGTGTCATTGCGTAGATCTCAAAAAGTTATGTGGAATAAAAAAATTATCGGATTCAGATACCAGAGTCAAAAGTTACGGCATCAAGAAGTTTTACGATTAAATTGTTAATTTTTTGAGCTACTTGTCAACACCAGATGAGTGATGCCTAAATTAGACGTGACTGCTTTTTGGGTGACGCCTTACTTAGGCGTGACTGGTGGTGCCCAAATTGGGCGTGACATATTGCAATATATGTGTAATTATTTTAAAAACAACCATAAATTCGTAATTTTTTATTTAAAAAATAATAAATTAATTTTTTGACATTGATTTACCTTTGTCTATTGTTTCATATATCTAATAAATTAGTCATATAATATATGGGATAATCTTTTCTCATGTTATATGAGAAAAGATTAATCTCCTACACTCGCAAAATAGAGGAGAGAGAATAGATGAGAGAGAAAAAGTAAAGAGTGGGTTCCACCTTTGAATTGTGTGTAGGAGAAAAATATTTTATCATGTAACATAAGAAAACATTAACTCATAATATATATATATATATATGAAGTAGGATCTTTTGACACCGGTGTCAAATTTGAAGTTTGACACCTAATCTGAGAGTCGTTAGATCGAAAAAGATCAATGGTATCACATGCTTACAAATCAGAGTCGTTGTTCTTTTTCGATCTAACGGCTCTCAGATGAGGTGTCAAACTTCAAATTTGACACCGGTGTCAAAGGATCCTACCACTATATATATATATATATATATATATATATATATATATATATATATATATGGTTTTATTAATCTCATATTAAAAGAGATAAGTTATCTCATGTCATAGAGACAAATTTGTGAGCTCCACCACCTGAAAAATAAAAAGAAAAGAAAAGAAAAAGGTGACACAGTTATCGAAGGGTGTGTAGGAGAGAAACTTATCACATATAACATAAGAGTAATTTTTTCCATATATATATATTACAAAGTAAGAGTTTCTTTGCCATTCTTTCTTGACATGTCATATAATTAGTCAGCAAAGTATGACCGTGTAACAAGTTTATGCTGCATTCCAATTAACAGCTACCCCAATGAGTGTTGCTCTTAATCCTGAAGCTGAATTTGCATATGGGGCGGGGCAAATTAATCCACTTAAGGCAGCAAATCCTGGTTTAGTATATGATATTAGCGAAGCAGATTATGTCAAGTTCTTATGCGGTGAGGGGTATACCAATGAAAAGCTCAGAGTACTCACTCAAGATCATGCTAAGTGCAGCAAAAAACCTAACAAGTTAGTTGTATACAACCTTAATCTCCCATCATTTGCTCTCAAAGTAAACGCCTCTTTCTATCGTGTTTTTCATCGAACAGTTACAAATGTGGGATCAGCAACATCTAGTTATAAAGCCCAATTGATGTTTCCATCATTCTTGGATATTCAAGTGAAACCAGATGTTCTGTCCTTCACATCTATTGGACAGAAAAAGTCATTCTCGGTCATAATTGTTGGGAAGATTAATGTGGAAACAACCTCTGCCTCTTTGGTTTGGGATGATGGGAATTATCAAGTTAGAAGTCCAGTTGTTATATATAGTGATCCTTGATAAATTCTATGAACTTGAGTGTGCGTGACACGAGAAAAAAATAAGAGTTAATTTGGAAAGCCGCATGATGGCACTTTCCAAGTTAGAATGTTGTGTTTGTTGTATCCACTTAATGAAGCTCGTAAGTCTATTAAAAAATATATGCATGTAATGTAAGCTCCCTGCGATGAGCCTTTGTCTGCAATAAAGGGCTCTAGCTATTCATATTTATATAAGAGCTATAAAAAGTGATAAATTATCTTGAACGCGATGTTTAGATAAACATGAAGTAATTTAGGTGCTCCTCACCTACTCCGGGTGTGTTGTTAATTAAAAAATCTATTTGACGAAGGGAAAGAAAAAATTCAAAGATATTTTAGTTACTATCCCTTTCAATTTTTTGGGCAGTATGATATATTGGGATTAAGTTATTGTTATTATTTTTTGGCTGACATTTTACCGGTGAGGAGCGACTAATGGTCTGTAACGGATAACGATCAGTAATGGGCAGTGGCGGTACCGGTCAGTGATGGCCGGCAACAGCGGTACCTTAGTAATATTTATGACGGAGATGCATGATAAATATTTATTTGGATTATCTGATTTAGTTCCATAATATTAACAAGAGCCCTAAACAATTTTTTTGGTATATGTTACTCTGTATACTTTTTTTTATGCCTATCTTATCTACCATTTTATAACACTGTTAGATCAAAATCTTAAGAGGAGAAAAAATGATAAAGGTTTGTTGAGATTATGATATAACTGTATTAGATTTTTTTATTTGTTGTGGACTACAATCAATTGTATTTATTATTTTATTTTTATAAAAATAGGCAAAGTCATGGTGCATATGGGGATGCACTATAAAACCCATTTAATCAAGTGATCTGTTGATTTAGGATTGGATATCTGTAAACTTGTTGGCAAGGAGAGATTTTCTCCTTCATTACCTAAAATAAAAGAGGCAAGATTAGAGTGTTGACAGAGAGAGATTTCCTCCTTGATTACTAATGTGTTGTATATGTTTAATAGTATTTGTAATCAATCTATTTTTTTTTTTGTAGCAATTATAGGAATTGATTGTAAATAAAATTGATTGATAGGAGGTATAAATTTCCTGATTTGTGACTTGCTTGAAGCCCATAATTAGTGCATATAATTTATCTTTATACAAAGGAAGAAATATAAATATTGATTACCAGTTACATGTTCCATTTTTGTACATGGTATCAGAGCTAAAACCTAATGGCCGACCAACCTTCTTCTACGCAGCCATAGAAGGGCACCCCTACAACCATTGAAACATCTTCTTCCACACAACCTTTAATCCTTGCACCCTCTAATTGCATTATCGTAATGCAAGGGCATTTTGCTTTTCACAATGCAAATGTGGCTCACCCAGGTGGATCACATAAAGTTAATGCATTATCTGCCTCTTCTATGAATAATACTTGGATTATTGATATGGCGGCATCTGACCACATGACTAGTGATAAAACAAATTTACAATATGTTCTTCCTTCACCTCAGTCAGTTATCTCGACTACTAATGACAGCTCTTCTCAGATCACGGGTGAAGGACCAGTAGTTTTATCTGACTCCTTAACCCTTGCTATTTTTTAGTTGTCCCTATTTTATCATATAACCCCTTATTTGTTAGTGACTTTTTGGCCTTCCTTTTGTGTGTATCAGGATATTCTGACCCGGAAGATTCTTGGTTATGGTGTTAAACGGGACAATCTTTACTACTTGGACTTGACCACAGATGGTGGCAGACAATTCTCATCTGCACTTCAGACCCATCGAAGCACCAGTCCCCCCTGCAATTTACCACGTCGAGTCTTCAGCCCTCAGATCTTATCCTCGTTTCTTACGGTTTGTGAAACGTGGGTACGTTGTGTCTTCCTCTGGAGTACCTCACACCTGTATGGTCCAGGAAGAACATGTGTTGTGGGATTGAAAGACTCTGGCTCCTCCTCGGATGTAGACCGAGGAGAATTGGATGATGACGAATCAGCCATGATAATATGCTATTAAAAATTACAATTTGATTGTGGTAATTAATTTAATTTGAAATAATTTACAAACCTAGTCCAAGATTTATAAAAAAATTGAATTTTTTTTATCAAAAGTGTATGTGCATATATTATAAGGGATAGGTTATTCTACCTACTCCCTTCTTGCCTACCTTTTGTCTACCCCTTTCATCACCGTTGGATTACAATCTAATCCAACAGTCCATAATTGCGAAATAAAATAATCCTTTTTTTCCTTTCTCTCTCCTCACTTTCTCCCACACCCTTTCTCTCTCCTCCCCTTTCTCTCTTCCTCTACGATCTCGACACATCCTTTTGATCTCTCGATACCTTTTTTTTTTCCTTTATCTCTGATCTCCGCCGAGGTGAACACGCGGAAGCATTATGCAATTCATCGACCACAACATTTGAAATCATCGTTCTTATACGGTTTATTTTTTTTATTTTTTATTTTGACCTTCTTTTTAAAAGGCGATTCTTGATTCGTGAAGAAAAAGAAGAGATTTTTCTAGACTACCAGATTGCAACAGACTGTACAATTGTAGAATTGATAATCTACAATATTTGGGTTCCTTCATTATTCATGTAAGTAGGAAGGTGCAAAATCACTTTTCATTCTTTGCCATCAAAACCTTGAGTTCTATGCACGCGGCCATAGATTCTCGTAAACCAAAATAAGCTATGTGCTTTGTTTGCATCCACAAGTGCAATTCTCAAGTTCATTGTGAAGCTTCTGAAAGAGGGTGAAAATAAACCTGATAAGGACGATGATTTAGGATGTGTCCGGATCGCAGAGGAAGAGAGAAAGGGGAGGAGAGAAAGGGGAGGAGAGAGAAAAGGTGTGGGAGGAAGTAAGAAAAGAGAAAGGGAAAAAAAGAATTATTTTATTTCGCAATTATGGACCGTTAGATTAGATTGTAATCCAACGGTGATGAAATGGGTAGGCAAAAGGTAGAAAAGAAGGGAGTAGGTAGAATAACCTATCCCATATATATATGTGTGTGTGTGTGTGTGAAAAAACACTTCTCATATTGCATGAGAAGTGTTTGCTCTTATTGTGATTATTCAATTTACATGCAAAGCTTTTTTTTTTAATAAGTATGTGGCCCGTCACTAGATAAGTTACAACACGAAAAAATAAATATCATCATGCAACATGAGAAAATCAAAGCTTACACACACACATACACATATATAGATATATATATACATATATTTATATATATATATATATATTCATATATATATATACATATATGTTATGTAGCACCGATACCGACACAGGACACGTGACACGACACGACACAACACTCCGACACGTTAATTCTAAAAAATGTTAGATTTCGACACGTTAGGACACGTTTTGATATTAAATAATAATTTTTAATTTATGTAGTGAATATTATATTTAATATTCAATAATCTAACAAAAAAATGAATCTAATCTTATAATATTCATAAATTTTGCAAAAAAACATAAGATATCCCAAATATTTATATTAAACTCAATAAAATGGTAATTGTAATACAACGAATCTAATAGTTGGAACTAAAATCTCAACACAACGCAACCTTTGAACCTTTTTTTGAATTTCTATAACGCGTGTTGGAGTGTTGGGGAGTGTCGGAAAGTGTCGGACACGACACGTCAGGGTTTTTGAAGTGTCAGTGCTTATATATATTTATATATATATATATATATATATATATATATATATATATATGTATATATACATATATATATATATATGTGTGTGTGTGTGTGTGTTAGGGGGGATACTTATCTTATTCAACATAAGAGAAAAAAATTTCCAACTGAAACAAGAAATATGGGACCCATGGATTTAAAAAAAAAAAAAAAGAGAAAATGGTGGCACATATTTTGATGTCTCCATGACAGGAGATTATTGTCTCCTATAGTATAAGAGAAGTATTTCCATATATATATATGTATATATATATATATATATATATATATATATATATATATATATATATATATATATATATATATATATATATATATATATATATATGGGATAAGATCTTTTGACACTGGTTTTAAACTTTAAAATTTGACACTAAATTCTAATCATTGATTTTCGCCAATCAACGGTTATATTTTATCTGGAATTAATGATTAATTATAAATGTAATTTTCAATAAATGATAACTGTTGAATGACGAAAATCAACGGTTAGAATTTAGTGTAAAATTTTAAAGTTTGACATCGGTGTCAAAGGATCATGCCCCTATATATATAGGGCTTATAGTTTCTCAAGCTGCTTGGGATAATTTTATCTCCGGCTACTAAATTATAAGCGTATAAAGATGGATCAATGGTGATAACGGAAGAGAGAGAAAAATGAAATCATAATCATTCAAAGATGAATAAATTAATATAAGAGAATAAATAAACAAAATGACGTAATTTTTGAATGAACGGAGATAAATCTATCTCAAGCTGCTTGAAAAAATGTTCTCATGTTACACTTACAATTAAAAGGTGGTTCCCATATTAATTTCTTTGGCTTCTCACTTTTTTGTGGACTCCAGTCATATATTTTGTGTGTAACATGATAAAATATTCTCGAGAAATCTGAATGGTCAACTTGAAGTATTATAAGAGAAGAATACAATGCCAAAACTTGTGAATAATCTAACGGCTGAACAAAAAAGATCTCCCCCTTTGAATATCAATGTTCGATATTGTGTGAGCAAGCCTCTGTCCGCCTTTAAATGCTGAATAGGGGCAGTTATTTTAATTTCTTCTAATATGAATTTGGAAGCGGCTAAATGTATATTAGAAGTAGTTAAAATAACCGTCTTCATTGAAAATTTAGAGGCATTTATACTAAAATTGCCTCTATTGCTACATTTAGAGACAATTATAATAAAATTCATGGACAACTTGACACAACACGAACCGACCTTTTGACACGTTTTGTCACCCTAGGATCTAACGAAACGAGGGAGCTCCAA